CCTGGTTCTTCCGGTCCAGACTCCAAAGGTTAGAGACCTGCCCTAAGACACAGAATGAACATGCACAAACACGTGTAAAATAGGAAAGAAGTTTTGTTTTTGTGTCTGCTTTTTCTTAGAGAAAAGTAAAGATTTTTAACAGAAAAGAAATACACTCCACACCAGAAAGGCTTGTGAGTGGGCAGCTGTTAGAGGATAGCTGAGCTGGGAATGAGCTTAGGTGTTATTTTTATTTTGGGATTTTGTCTTGAACATTTAGGAGCGGAGGTCTGTCATTATTTAGCTGGTTTCTTTGTTTGAATTCAATTTCGTTTTTGCTTACATTCTTCTTCCTCAGGTAAGGAATTTGATTGCCCAGCTACGCATGCCCAGTGTGAACTTGAAGGTGTGAGCATCCTCATGGGGACTACTGTGTCTATCAGTTTATTTCCCTGAGCAGGAATGACAGTGACGACCATGCATCTTGGTGATGTGGAATGGCAGGAGGGAAGACAGCAACTTTCCCCAGGTTTCCTGGAGAAAGCTTAGATAATGGAGTAAAAATGAGATCAGCTTCCCTCTTCTGGTCACTAGGAGCCAGTAAGAGGAAGGCATCCCCAGAGAGAATTTGGTCATATCCCCTGACAAGTAGTGATCGATGAGGCAGAGGTTCTTCTGCCCTTATCTCAGAGCTGCTCACTTATAGCTGGCTGACTATGGCATGGGTGGCCTACCTATGACAGACTCTGTGGGGGGGTGCTTCCCTCATTTCTCTCTTTTTGTCTCTTTCTCATGGAAAAAATAGATAAATTTTATAATTTCTTCAGTTTCACCAGACATCTAAGACTATACAATCATGTGGGAAACTAGTAAATTGACCTGCGTAAGTCTCAAGGACTGTGCAAAGGGCTAAGCTGGTGGTCCTCAGTCAGTACCTCTCACATGTTCTGGACTACCACCACCTGAGTGATTGCAAACTCAGAAGGCAGCCTGGGCTGGGAAACCCAACCCTGGAGCTTATCCTGCATCTCTGTTTGTGTGGTCTGGTGGTTTGTCCAAACCGACTTCTACTTAACAGTTGCTGGAGATCTACATTGTTTGCTCAGGTCTGTCAACCTCTGTCTTAAAATATTACAAGACATGGGACTGGCAGGTGGTGTGGTGGTTAAGGCATTGGACTCAACAGGGCCGACCATGGTTCGAGTCCTGGACCTGGAGACTTGCTTTCTCACTTTCTCTCTCTTTCTCTTTCTTTGCTGAGCATACGTAACCTATAACATACTTTAAAGTAATAATAAATAAACAAATAAATAATTCTTTTAAAAAAATAAAAGATACGTAGAGGCTATATTTCCTGCCCCATCCTTGGAAGTTTCACTGTCTCATTCTGTTAATTAAAAGTGAGTCATTGTCCAGCTCAAAGTGAAGAGGAGATGAGGAAATTTGACTCCACTTGGTGAGGAGGGTATTTTAACATTATCACAATGGCTGCAAGGCTTTTTTTTTTTTTTTTTTAACCATCTAGGAACTATTTATGTCTTTCCTCCAGTTCCTGGCTGCTCTCTGAGTATGAGTTTGCCAAATTAGAAACCTGTAAGTGTGTTTTTGTTGTGTGTTTGACTAAAGTACAGTATTACAAGGGAATCTGAATTCCAGGATTGAAGACAAGAATTTGTCTTTTAAGGACAACCTACTTTCCAGGGAACTTCACCAGGAAATATGCTTGCTTTCGAGAGCTGATTAATTCATCAACTTCCTAAATACAGAAGGATGTCAACATTTTGTCCATTTTCTGGGAATTTAACTAATTTCATTATTTCTTACTTAATTTTTATTTGAATCAATAATGACAGCAACTTGAATTATATCTTTATAAAATAAATAAAATATGCAATTATAGAATTATATCAGGGTTAAATAATAAAAATTAACTAGTAGTGTGCCCACAGTTGACAAAGTACTTGTCTGATAATTTGGTGTATATTTCTGACATAAAACTAGTCATTTTGAGTATTTGATATTTAGTCAAGGCTTATATGAAGATTAGCTACTCATACTGCTCTTGATTTTTAAGAGCATGTAAATTTTATATTTTTGCTAGATAACAAAAACATGCTGAAACAAGAATACACTTCTAATTTTGCATACATTATACATTGTGACTTTGAAAACATTGTTTTTCATATTTCAGATCCACAGTGGAGTAGGGAGGAATGTTCATTTATGAAAATTGGATGGGGCCGGCAGGTGGCGTGGTGGTTAAGGTGCTGGACATTCTCACATGGCCGACTATGGTTCGAGTCCTAGACCTGGTGGCTTGCTTTCTCACTTTTCCCCTCTCTCTCTCTCTCTCTCTCTCTCTCT